ATTCAACCACTCAACCACTAGATGTCGCTGAAAACAACAAATCCTACACACTGTGCCTTTAAGTACAGTAACAAAGTATTTGTACTTAGTTACTTTACAACTCTACACGTCACCAGCAGCCCAGCTAACACCTGCTGACTCAGCGTCAGCAGAATAAAAACAGAAGCCCAACACTCACGTTCACAAGCRTCTCCTTTCTGGTGAAAGCCAGCTTTGCAGATACATTTCCCAATGGGCACCAGCCACTCTCCGTCCGTGCTGCAGTGCATCTTGGGAGAGTTGTCGGCCTCCTCCTCGGCGTCGCTCACACACATGCCCTCCACCTCCACCAGCGAGGAGAACTCCGAGCCCGTGGTGGTGTCTGGGAACGTGGCCAGGTTCTCGATGATGGACCAGCACCTCTTGTAGTAGACTTTGACGGAGACCAGGGCGATGCAGGCCCCCACGTCCTGGAAGGCCAGGTAGAAGCCCCGCCGCGTSACCGAGTCGATCACGCGCACCTCCGTGTTCAGCTTCATCTTCCTCTCGCCCAGGTCGCCCTGCGTGAAGCTCTCGTCTGCGGCGATGGTGTCGATCTTCACGTACTGGTCCTCCCGCAGGCCCCGGCCCATCTCCGAGTCCGTCTCCTGGTAGTACAGGTTGAAGGTCTCCTTGCAGGCGCCCACCACGCCMGGCAGGCTGTTACAATCCCTCAGGGTGAACTTCAGCTCCACAAAAATCCTGCGAGCGTCGCCCTTCTCGATCCAGTTGGTCCGCAGCCAGTTGTTCTGGTTGGGCTCCATCACCTGGCACACCTGGTAGGTCCGGATGGGGGTGTAGTTCTCATCCAGACCGCTGATCTCCTCCCACTGCAAACAGACAGCGGGTCGGGAATAAAACATCCCTCCACAGAGGAACCTGCCAACCTGACGGCTGCAGACTGAGACGCAGATTAACACTCAGATTATCARAATGTAAGGAATTTATCCTTCCACTGGATTAAAGCAGCTGCTCTTCTTCACAACAACACTACACCCACACTTTCACACACTGTCACACTGTCATGGTGGATAAATCAAGCGCACCATGGGGTGCCATTTGTAAAGTTACACAGTCAAAAATTACCACCAATATTTTTGTTTTATTTAGATTTTATAAGAAAAAAAAGAACAGATTTATTTTTCAAAGTCAGTTTTTCACCACATGATTCATACATTTATAAATGCCAGTTTATAAACTAAATATTTAGCTTACAAATTAAATATTTAGTTAACAAGCTAAATATTTAAC